ATTATTTTATTAATGCACTTTAATGATGGAGAAATGTAAGAGGATTTTTACAGACTCATTTTTATTGCAATGAATTTATCAAGATCGGATGAAATTCCTTTTCATCTTGATTGGTGCTTTTGCTTTATTTTAGTGAAATTAGCAAGCTTCTAAGGCAAATGACACAATATTGGCTTCAATTGATGCCAAATTGATTTTATTGTAGTTTAAATATGGTTTACAAATGGCTCTCAATGCTATCGTCGTATAACCTTAATACAGCATCGAAAATATAGGTTTCCCAGAATGAGCCAACTAAACGGATTCTAGCCTTAATAAGGTTTTGGTTTATGTAATAAAGACAAAGCTGTACTTGGATGATTTCTTAATTCTGAAGCACATTTCGTATTCAGCGAAATGAATATTTGCAACCTTAGATCATTCTCTGGAACAGGAACGTGGTAAAAGTGATAAAATATATTATAAATGATACCAAGAGAACAGTTATAAAGGTTTTTTTTTTGTTCATTTGGATACGAATGCTAATAACTAACCAATATCGTCATCGTTTTATTAAAAGTGCCTTTTATTCAACGCATCACGTCGTGAATACCAACGCACGACGTGACACTTTCACTATGAGCGTGTGGTATCAACCAAAAATGTTTTTCATCGAATACGCTTAATGGCGATCATGAGCTACGTACGACAAAACATAACGCTGTTGATTTGGCTTTGGAATTCCATGCCATGAATGAATGAAAGCGGTGAAACCTGTTCCCAAATAAAATATACCCTTCAACCAGCCAACGAGTATGATGCCTGTCAAGGCAAGCATTTCTCCAGGCTTTTTTGGTCTGTTGATTTTATTGACTTAGTTCCAACTTATTGAAATTATTGCTTTACTATATCGTTTAGATATTTGCAAAAATATCCATGCAAATTTGTTGGAATTTCTCATTTTGATTTAAGGTACACTGACTGTGGGAAGTGGGATCGGAAAAATCAAAGCTAGTTATACCAAAATTGTGTTTATCAAATATAAATCTGGTAAGTCCCAAAAAATAAAAATACTTGGAAAATGCTGGCTTGCAATGTGAGAAGTTATTGTTTTCCAACTAACCTCCGAATATGCAGTAAGGGCGGGATCACAACGGTTTGATCACTTGTCATGAGTGCAACCAATTTTATGATTTAACATTGGAGAAGGTGGACTAAAGAGCCACGCATCTAATCCATTGCAGCAAATTCGACAGTTAGACAATAGATTTAGCTGTCATTTTGCCTGATTAGTTCCGGATGCATTGTGCGCGTCTCTTAACTCTATTCAAAACAGAAGCGATACGAATTAAATTAACAAGGGAGCAAATCTACGCCAAATGATGAATTGATTTTATTTTACCGTCTCCAAATTCCATGAAACCACAGAGAACAGACGTCCAACTTCCACCAGAAACTTGTGTAAATATAAGTGGGAACGTTGCCGTTACGTAGCGCTAGTATCTCCTAATTTCCTCTAAAAAATTTCCACTTTCGACCAATTTGGCACTAGTATCAATAAATTATCGGATGAAAATTACTACTTGGCACTACCGGTACTTAGTGTCTAGTGTAAGTTGTGCCATCATGTTGTCAAAGAGGATTTTTAAGTGGGGAAGTCGTCGTTGGTGGCGCTTTAGTCGAATAAGAATCTTTATACAAGTTTTAACAGAAATTAAGTTTGAGCCTCAACGTCTGTTCTCTGTGAAGAAACTTCGCATAATGGATTACCGTAAGCTGTCAGTTTTGATCTCACAACTACCACAGAGAACAGACGTCTAACTTCCGCCAGAAACTTGTGTAAATATAAGTGGGAACGTCGCCATTACCTGACGCTATCATCTCCTGATTTCCTCTATAAATTTTCCACTTTTGACCAATTTCGCGGTAGTATCGATAAATTTTCGGATGAAAATTACTACTTGGCGCTACCGGCCCTTAGTGTCTAGTGTAAGTTGTGCAACGCCAGCGCCATCATGTGGTCAAAGAGGGTTTTTAAGTCGAAGTCGGCGTTGGTTGGGGCTTTAGTCGAATAGGAATCTTTATAGTAAGTTTTTACAGAAATTTAGTTTCTGTGCAACTACTCTGTCAGTCATTATCATTACCGATAATGGTAATGATAATGATTGAACCCAGGCTTGCTGGGTGAGATGTAATCACGCTTACCACTACACTACTGGCGCCGCTAAAAAATGCTGCTCTTTCAGAATTTTTTTATGTTTTGAACTACATTTAGCTTAAGATGATCAACTGTGCGAGTGGCATAATTCATCCAATCTACAATCCAAACTTCTTCATCTGGTGTTAAAACAGTCAACGGTCCAGGATTTTTATTACAATATTTACTCCGACCGTAGCACCACAGACAAACAGACGTAACTCTTCATTGTGTATCTTCGTTCACGCATTTAACTGTTGATTTGAACATTATCAGTTCCGCGAACTACTCGCCGCAGCGCTGGCATCGGATCACTTTGACGTTTCTATACATTCTATAGAACTTTTATGCAATATTCTTTGCGAGTTAGCGAGCAAGCTTATTTTCCGCGAGAAGCCAGAGAGATGTCGTTACTGAGGTCCTATGTTTTGAGATACTATGTTTTCAAGAACAACTTTTTCAAAGAGTTACGTCTGTTTGTCTGTGGTAGCACTGAAATTCCGTGTTTTGCAGCGTGCACTACAATATACATCGCCTTTGCGGAATATACATTCTTCTTTGGTGCTGTGCATATACCACGAGGACACTTTAGGGGAAGAGTCAAATCCATGGTCCATACAAATTCTAAAAAATTGCATGCATGATTGTCCACGCAGGGGGTGGACCAAAACCTCTCAAAAACTATCCACATGGACTGTGGACAGCACTTTACTGTTGAATTAATCTTAAACAAGACCACAGTAGAAGAATGTTGTAATGAGCGATAATTGGTATTCAACAAATTTGCAGTGTACTAAAAACCGTTCAATAAATTTTGACTCAGAAACAAGTAAAGGCATTGTAGCTTTCGACTATTTCTCAATTATCCTGGGCATAGAAAAGTACATCACACTCTGCCACACAATAATACTAATGCCAAAAAGGCACAGGCTTAGAAATCTTTCAATTAACAGCTGTGGTAGTGCTCAAAGAACAGTTGACAGCCGGCATGAAGTCGCAGTAGAGACGTGATAAAAAGCCATAAAAGAAGATGGCCTCTATGATAGTTGCTATTATAATTTTTGTTAAATAGTTTCGTTTAAATTTTATAATTAACTGCAGTCTATATTAAGAAGAGTTTCAGTTACATACAAAGGGTGGAACAAACAAGCGTGCACTTTAAAAAATAAAAATCGTTGATTTTCGAAGGTGTGTGTCTACTAAATCTCTTGCCATTTTTGTCTTTGGAAATTTGGATTCAGTTTTTAAGATGGCTACCAAACAAGAGAACCAGCTTTTTAAAATTCTGCAGGCGCATTCGTTATATTAACATCTTTCTTTGTGAAGCCCGTTGATATTTTTTTTAAGAAAACTATTTGGTCAGGCAGGTGATTTGCACTGGTGAGCACTATATGTCACATGGCATCATCATTCAGAATATTTACATGACCGAGTGTTTGAACAACTGTGTATTGTCTTTTATTAGAACCCATTGATACCCTAAGCTGCATTGGCCTTATATCGTGTCTTGTCATTGCGGTAAATTTACGAGAAAATTGTATGAAACCAACAACGTTGGAGTTGGAGCCAAAAACTAGAACCGGCCAAATTCATTATACTCAAGCATTTTTTAAATATTGAAAAATCATCAAGAGAAACCTCAAGAAGGATCCAGAATAAGTTGATAATGTGAGAAAAAAATCAAAAAAAAAATGGCATGCATTGTAAAATGACTTAATTTAACAATTCAATAAGGTTGTGCAAAACTAAATGGAAGGGGTCAACAATGAAGTTCATGAATTCGTATTTTGCAAAGCATAGAGCGAACTCAACAATTTCAAGGCTTCATGTAAAAGTTAGCTGCCAAAATAACCTATAATATATGATTAATTATTTACATTATTTTGCTACATTTAATTTTGTGTGATTTTTTTTGCTCGTTCCACCCTTTAAATCAAAGGCTCTGTAATATTTAAGCGTTATGTGCGTGACGGGGTAACCAGCTCCCATTTGAATAATATGGTGTAGAAAATTCTCACGCACATAAGGGTTCAATAAGTCTAACCCTTTTCCGAAGTGTAAGCCACCCCTAACTTCTAAATTTACTTTTATTGATTAACTCCAGTGTACATAATGAATGATATGTGTAATGATGAAAAGAATTGTCAATGCCTTTGAAGTAAAAGTATTTTTTATGACGGATTCTCATGTCAACAGATGCCAGAATTTGTGAAATTTCATAAACATATTCAATTCAACTTACGGCATACATAATGTATGCCATAATACCTTCGGAATTACATTTTCAACATAGGGACCATGACACTCTTGCTTCCCTCATAATTTTCAAAATGCTTGCCAGTAAAAGGAGTATTATTTACTCGTATTTGTTGCACGTTGGTTATAAAAAGCTTATTCCAATTTTTATATGTGCTGAGGAGCTCTGAACGATCTTATTTATGCATATAAACTACAAGTACTGAACATTTCGATATTCGATTGGATATCTTTCTGGTTAGACATTTTTCTCGACTTCCCTGGGCATAGAGTATCATTTTGCTTGCCACACAATATTCAAATTCATGCATTCACACTAAGATTATTTTACCGAAATCTGTGAAATTTTTCCGAAATGTTGGTTGGTATAGAAAGCTCTCAATTATCCCACCTAGTGCCGGTAAATAGAGGTGAGTACATGATCCCTGAAATGCTGTAGTATATTTCGAAGAAACTAATGAGCAATTACAACAATCAAGTACACCGATCAACTCAACCCTAATTTACAGAATCGTAATTTGTAGCCAAACAAATTGTAACTGACATTTTCATTCCTTTTCTATTTCAGAAATGAAACCCAACATACGTTAGCAAACAAAGCGAATTAAATCTCATCTGAAATGGACTGGTCTACTGGTGATTTGGTGTGGTTTGACCCTGGTCTTGGTCATCCACTACCAGGCGAAATACTCGAAGTGCATCGTGCCGCCCAAATAATCATCGTGCAAGCACTAATCAATGGAAAGGTAAGTAACTGGAGTACATATTTGGACGTTCTTCGTACCATAACGTGCATATCGCGTGTTAAAATCACCTTCACTATCTAATAATTGCCTACCTATGAACAGCGGTTAGTTGGACTGCACCTAGAAACGTTCCCCACCAAAAGTGTGCAACACGATGTTCATTTTTTACAATTATTTAATTTTTTTTTGCCGTCACACACTCGCTGTTAAAATCCTAAATGTATACGTTCAACAATTATAACGCACGGGTAGCTCCTACATGTATGCAACCGAAATATCATCATGTATAAAGCTTAACATCTAATCTAGAAAAAGATAACATCAACAGAGTGGCAGAAATTAAGCGAGATGATTTCATTCTACTCCGCGGCGACACATGACATAGGAGCAGGCATCAAAATTATCTGATAAATGGTGATAATATCATCTATCAGATAGAGGCCTATCACAGTGATAGGTTTCTATCTGAAAGATTCTCTCTCAGTCTATCATGATAGAACCCCTATCCCATCTTTGATACTATCATGATAGAAAAAATGATAGATAGACTCAATGATGGGATAGGACAGATAGAAACAATATCATTTCCTTTAGCTATCATGATATATGGTCAATCTGATAGTTGAATTATCACATGATAGAGATAGGGATTCTTTCTGTATCAATGATAGTTCGAAATAATATATTTTATAATGGACAACGGACAATTCACCTCCCAAATGGTCAAAATAAAAACATTCCAATCCGAATCAATATTTATATTTCGGACCGGGGACGAAGTGTAGATGCCGGAAATTGATTTCTGTCCTTACAGTATGGGTATATTAAGAACGAGGATGACGTCTAAATACCGGAAATCAATGTTCGCCATCATTTTTAAATCCAAGATGGTGGCTTCCGGTTACATTATAATTGTGAAATATTGTTGAATCAAATACCCTTCAATATGGGTATTTTTGGAATCATGGTGACGTATAGAGAACGGAAATCGATGTCCGACGCCATTTTGAAATCCAAGATGGCAGCTTCTGGTTACCCTAAATCTGGAAAACATTATCAAATACCCTTCAATATGTGTATTTTCAGAATCGTGGTTACGTCTCGAATCCGGAAATCGATGTCCGACGCCATTTTGAAATCCAATATGGCGGCTTCTGGTTATCCTAAAATCTGGAAAACATTATCAAATACCCTTCAATATGGGTATTTTTGGAATCGTGGTGACGTATAGAGACCGGAAATCGATGTCCGACGCCATTTTGAAATCCAAGATGGCGGCTTCTGGGTATCCTAAAATCTGGGAAACATTATCAAATACCCTTCGATATGGGTATTTTCAGAATCGTGGTTACGTCTCGAATCCGGAAATCGATGTCCGACGCCATTTTGAAATCCAAGATGTGCGGCTTCTGGTTATCCTAAAATCTGGAAAACATTATCAAATACCCTTCAATATGGGTATTTTTGGAATCGTGGTGACGTATTGAGACCGGATATCGATGTCCGACGCCATTTTGAAATCCAAGATGGCGGCTTCTGGTTATAATAAAATCTGGGAAACATTATCAAATACTCTTCAATATGGGTATTTTCAGAATCGTGGTATAAAATAGAAGACGAAATCATGAATCATTGTTACGATTTCATGGGATGGCAAGTTTTTTTCATTTCATGATTTTTTATTCATGAAAATGGAATCGGATTTGTTTCCGTGTGAGACTGACATATACGAGCGTCAATTTTGAAATAAAATTGAGTCATAATAGACGCAAAATTCAGCTCAATCAAACGTAATTTCAAACTTTTCAGTCTTGAAGCACTTAATTTTACATGTCATGTTTGTTTACGTCTCATCCTTTATGTCAAAGATGGATTCCGTCACGTGTAAGAATAGGTATTTCTAAGTGAGTAGTTTGTAGTTGCGAACAAGTTGAATTGGATCGTTCTGGGTGTAAATCTGTAATTCTAATTTTATCAATTTTTCAGCAAGAATGTCGTACACAATTGAAAAATTTATTTTTTTCTTCACAATCTCTTCCATGCCTGCTAAGGCTACTAAGATCATAAAAGAGCATAAAAAGTATTAAGAATCAAGGTGCAGTGTTGTATGTCTAACAAAATACTAACAGTTTGAGGCTCTTTATCAAATGCAACGGTACATATCGAAAGGTAAATAAATTTGAATAAAAATAATTTAGAATTCATCTGTAGTAGAAATTTTACATTGGTCTAAAAATCTGTTCGAAAAATAGAATTAAAGTGCGGTTTGTGCTTAGTAGGCCAAAATTACATCAATTGCATTTTTCTAGCATGAATTTGCATAGTTTTTTTTAACTATTTGTTGCATAATTAATTTAAGAAAGTTTTGACACTCAATCCATCTGGATTAAAATAACATACAAGTTACAAGTCCTCGTCCTCCCAGTGCTGGAAAGTTCATTTAAAAAAAGGTATTTCGCAGTTCTGCAGAGAATCATTTCACTGAAGAACTCGAAAATCACGATCGAAATGAGATACGCCTTTTGTCTTCTATTTCATACAAGTACTCATAGTCTAGTGGTCAAAGTATGGGTTTAATAATTTCAAGGTTCTTGGTTCGAATCCAGTCTGATGTTTTATTTTATTCTTTTTACATTTTTTGGTTAAAAGTTAAACCCATGAATTTAGTTCATGATTTCAACTCGGATGATTCATGATTTTGGGAATGTTTGCTGCGTTACGGAAAAGTTGCTCATGATATCATGAATATTATTCATGGTGTATTTTCATAACATGAAAACACGCTGTGTGCATGAAATCATGAGTCATTTTTCTCATTTCGGAGATCGGATTTTTTCCAGTGCAGATCACCTAAATTTACATTAATTTTTCTAAGTGTGTAGGCAATTGTATAAAACATCTTCAAAAGGCTATTGATACTTCTCAAATCTTGGAATAGTGACACACATACTATAATGATGCCAAAGAATATTTTTTGGTTTGCTTTTCATTGTTAACTTTTAAAATATAAACATAAATAATCTAAGATTTTTTTTTTTACAATTCATTTTTACTGATCAGGAAAGAAAAGATTAGATGAATTCTCATTTGGTTTGAAGTGTTTTGCGGATCTTGTTCCGGCCATATCCCCGGCCATGATACCTTTTATATTATGGTTATTGCGTAAAATTTGGTTCATTGGCTGCCGAGAAACACAACTTAAAAAAAAAACTCACCAACACATACACAGCGTCTTGAACATAAAGACAAAAACAAAAAACATTAAGAAACACAAGAACAAAAAGTTTGCCTATAGTAATTCCTATATTAACTTCAAATGTTTTGTGCACAGTTAATTTTCGACTAAATGAGTTTAAATTTTGGGAGGATGGACAGGACCTGATTGAAAACCATCTGACCGGCAGCCACTGAACCGAATTGGACGCCGCTTAATGAAAGGTATTATAGTCTCATATTGATTATATTTGGAATCGGTCAACTGGCTACGGAGATATGGCCGGGACATGTTCTGGTTTGTATGAGCCATGTGACTAAATCCGTTCTGAAACGAATAAAACCTATAATGTGACAAATCAAATGACATGAGAATTCAAAAACCAGTTTAATGGTAGTCATTGTTGCAGAGCTTGCTCATCTTTTGAGTTCGCTTTTTCGTTTCCCCGTTCGAAGAAAACAACTAGTGGAAATGTCGGTGGAAATAATGCTGACGATTAGATTCAGCTTAGTAGCTAGTAGTTCAATGCCCTCCATGGAAGAAATTGTGAATTTGGTGATATCGCTGGACGTGGATTCCACTCAGATGGTCGCTACATATCGCATAGCGGAGGAAAAATCTATATTCATATTCATTCTACATTTCCTCGAACAGGGGAACATATTCTAGCAAGGAAACAAAAATGTGTGCTTCATTTGTAAGACGGAGAAGCATCTGACGAATTCCTGCCCCAAACGGTATGTTAGAAAGTAGCTTGTACAACAATGAACGGAAGAAGAAAAACAACAACAGAATTAAAAAGAGTGCAATACCAAAGTTGTGACTGGAGGTGAATATGCAAACGAGGAAGTGGTTGAGGCATTGGAGGAAGAGATAGTGGTGATGGTTGTGACATCCCCGGATGCTGAGAAGAACAGTGGAGAGAAAGCAAGCGCTGCTGAGAAACAGAAGCCGTCGGTTTTAAAGTAAAGAATGGACGAAGTGGAGAGTAAGTGGCAAATACAATTGGAAGAAGCAAGAGAGTTAAAGGCATGGATGAAACAATGTCCCTAATTAATATTTTATTGTAATTGTAAAATTATTTAATGGTTCTCGGTTCTGTGGAGTCATTTTCGACAATTGAGCCTAACAAATAAACTAGTTGGGGAAAAAAGTTCAATGGTAGTCATTTGAACTGCCTAGGATCACACTGGTCACATCCGGCATGTTTCGGTACCTCCGAAGAAGTGGCCATCTGACTGTGGTCAAAACCTATTATGTGATACCTCAAATTACACGATAATTCTAAAATCAGTTCATTTGGAGTGCCCAAGACCACGCTGGTCACATCCGGCCATGTTCTGGGATACCCCGGTCACTGGGGTCAAAATCCTTCATGCGATACCTCAAATCACATGAGAGTTCATATATCACTTTTCCCGGAATTTCTATTGGAGAAAAGGGTCAGCACTCAGCATAGGTGGATTAATTCGGGTTTATTTTATTTGTTTTCGCCAATGTTAAGGTGTTTCTTGAAGAGTCCAACATTGGTCGTCATGATGGCTGATATGCCCTATCACTTTAAGATTTCTAATACACTAATCACGGACACTGTTTCGACAACGTTCATGAAATTAGAAATCCCTGTTTTTATTTAGGCAATAAGACAAAAACGATAAAAATCAGAAAATTTATAAATTAAAAATTATAAAGAAAGAGAGAAGAATTAGTAATTTCCATTTAATTCCACTACCATAATGGCTTATCCTTGACAGATATGCATATTTCGTTTACAAAGTTCAGACTTCTTCACTATATTTATTTTGGTTTTGTATCGTTACAGCCTCAGACATTCACACTTGGTCCTGGCGAAGGAAATCTTCGTCCCAGACAAGACCTAGGAAAAACTGGAGTAGAGGACATGACCCAACTGGAAGACCTTCATGAAGCATCATTACTGTGGAATCTGAAGCTACGCTATGACAATGGACTGGTATACACATACGCTGGAAGTATACTGATAGCAGTGAACCCTTACAAAATGTTCGCAGACGCATATGGTATCGAAATGGCGAAAATGTATTCAGGAAAACCACTGGGAACATTACCACCTCATCTATTCGCCATTGGTTCCGCTGCACATGCTGCTTTGCCTTCTCCGCAAGTGGTGGTCATTTCTGGCGAATCTGGATCTGGAAAAACGGAATCAACCAAACTCGTAATGCAATACTTAGCGGCGGTAGTTCCAGGAGGTGGATCTGCGTCTACTGTTATAACGGAACAAATTTTAGAAGCAGCACCATTATTAGAAGCGTTTGGTAACGCAAGAACTGCTAGAAATGACAACAGTTCAAGATTTGGAAAATACTTGGAGGTATTTTTCAAATCTGGAGCTATTATAGGCGCAAAAATCACACAGTACTTGCTGGAGAAATCTAGAATTGTTACACAGGCACCAGGAGAGCGCAATTATCACGTTTTCTACGAATTACTTGGAGGACTATCAGAATCTGACCGTACTAAATATGGCCTTCTTGAGGCAGATAAATATTTCTACCTGAACCAGGGAGGCTCGGACTGTTCTTCGGGTCGCGTTGATTGGGCTTCATTGCAAGGTGCGATGCAAGTACTTGGAGTATCGGAGAATGAGCGAGAGGGTATTGTAAACGTTCTTGCTTCCGTGTTGCATCTAGGAAATGTTTACTTCCATCGAAGACAACTGAGACATGGACAGGAAGGTGTAGAAGTTGGATCAGATGCTGAAATTAAATGGGCCGCACATCTACTTCAAATTCCTTCGGAGGGAATCTTACGATCATTAACATCGAGAATTACTGAGACGCGATCAGAGCGACTGTACACACCATTGAGTATAGATCAGGCGCTGGACGCTAGAGATGCTTTGGCCAAAGCATTGTATTCGGGATTATTCAATTGGTATGTACTTTGTGGATTTTTGTTTAATTTTTTTTTTGTTATCAGTAATCCTGTTTTTGGTCACGGTTGATTAACATCGCAGTCTTTTAAAACACGTTCCAGAGATAAGAGAGATGATACTATTATGATCACTTCAATTCACATAGAATGTAAAATCAATAGAGTAAACGCTCGTATTGTTGCCGAGCGTTAGAAACGTTAGGTTCCTATAATTGCTAATGGAGTCTCCATAGTAGTACCGCAACTATAGGAGCGTTTACCCTAATGTAAATAAACATATTTTTTATCTTCCGACGTGTTTCGTAGATCGACATCCTTATTATTGATATGATGAAAAAAATTATTTTCTTAGTACTGTTATATCTACACGTTACGTTCAATGGCTGTATTTAAAAAATAGTTTACATACCTACCTGTAATTGAAATCTTAAAACCTAATGTTACGGAAAATTTATAATCAACAATCGATAATTTCAGGTTGGTGCTGCGGATAAATTCCATTGTGCATAAAGGGGGCACTCACGATGCTCATCGAATTTCCATACTTGACATCTTTGGATTTGAGGACTTGGCAGAGAACTCTTTCGAGCAATTGTGCATCAATTATGCCAATGAAAGCTTACAGCTGTATTTCAATAAGCATGTTTTCAAGTTAGAACAAGCTGAGTATGCAAAAGAGCGGCTAGAATGGTCGGCTCTAGAGTGGGAAGATAATCTCCCTGTTATTCATTTGCTGGCAAAGAAACCTGTCGGAATATTTCATCTTCTAGATGATGAATCAAATTTTCCCAGAGCAAATGATATAAGTTTTCTAGAAAAATGTCACTACAACCACGCGTTGAACGAGCTATACTCTAGACCAAGGATTGGTGCCCAGGAATTCGGAATAACACATTACGCTGGTCAAGTCTGGTATTGCGTTGAAGGTTTTCTCGAGAAAAACCGTGACGCATTACGAATGGACGTCGTGGAACTTTTAAGCTCGAGCACAGAGCCTTTGGTTGGTGAAATGACCAAACAGTTGAGAGCCCAACGAGATATAGGAAAGACCTTACCAAGGGGTATTAACGGGCGATTCGTAACTATGAAGCCCAGAACCCCTACCGTCGCAGCGAGATTTTCCGACTCGTTACAACAACTATTACAATCAATGGCCAAATGTAACCCATGGTTTGTAAGATGTGTGAAGCCTAATAATGATAAACAAGCACTTCGTATGGACATGCCGTGTGTTCTTCAGCAATTGAGATATTTGGGAATGCTCGATACAATTAAGATACGGCAACGGGGATACCCAGTTCGTTTGCGATTCCAGCACTTCGTAGAGCGATATAGACATATGTTGAAAACTCCGCTGCCGAGGGGTACTCCTTATCGTGAACTCTGTCGTTTTGTTCTTGATTCCCTACCTGGTACCAATACGGAAGGTCCAGATTTTCAACTCGGTGCGACACGAGTATTCTTGAGAGAAGCCCTCCATAGAACCTTGGAAGCCAGTCGTTCAGAAAGACTTAGATTAGCCGCAGTGACAATACAGAAAAGTGTTCGCGGAATGCTTTCAAGGAAACGAATTCAACGTCAAAATCGAGGAGCTGTTACCATTCAGAAAGTATGGCGTGGATATAGGGAGAGGAAAAACTACGTTTTTCTGAAGAGAGGTGTTATAAAAGCACAAGCTCTATACCGTGGACGGGTTCAGAGGGCTCGTTATGCCAAGTTGAAGGTTGAAATGAAACGTCGCCGTGACGCAGAACGTCTACAGAAAGAACGTGTTGCCCAGAATCTGGCCAAAGAACAGGTTGAGCGAAACACTTCCGCATTGTTGGATATACCGGCTGAGCTGGTGTTTATATTCTCTAAATCTGAAAACTGGTCCGGTCTCCAAAATGACCGGCATTTAGTCAAGGTTGTGGGAACAGTTCCAGGTCCACCAACCGCATCCGACTTACCTCCAGATCTTGATCAGTTTGCATTTGGAAAGTTTAGTTCCGTGTATTGTAATGGAATGAAAATTTCCTCTAGACGCGACGTAATATCGACGCCATTTTTATCTAGAGCTGCCGCTCGTGATCAAGATTTTAAAGACGCAATTGCAATTTTTAAACTTATTTTAAGATGGACATCAGATTCGACCATTGATCAGAACAAGGAAAAAATTATGGCCGATTATATAGTGCACAAAGGACTATCTTCTAGAGGCCTGAGAGACGAAATACTCGTTCAAATTTGCAACCAAGTTTACAGGGCGGATGAAGCATCAGCCGACAAGCTATGGTTGTTGATGTCTCATTGTCTATCTGCCTTTCAACCAGGGTCCGCGTTCAACAAGTATTTGATCAAATTTATCGTAGACAATGCACCGTTTAACACCAAGGAGCAACTACTCAAGAAATTGTTAAGAAACGATACAGGAACCCAGGCCAATCCGTGTCGCCTGTTCCCGCCTTCGTGGCTGGAATGGAGAGCATCGGCAAGACTTGCTGATACAGCACTGGGACTTGTACTTCCAGACGGTATCATGCAAACCGTTGCAGTGGATTCATGGACAACTTGTGAAGAAGCTGCTGCTTTGGCTATTTCATCACTAGGTATTCCAAACCTAGGTTGGACTGTCGTAATTGATGACAGCGGTTTGATAACTGACTCATGTGGTTTAGATTATGTGCTAGATTTGGTGTCAGAAAAAGAACTTTGTCCAGCGTTTCCTGCAGTTCGCAGTGATTTACTGAGATGTGGGAGCAGAAATCCCCAACCTCCTGCAATTGAACCTGAAATGAGTCCTAAGCGACCTCAAGTACCACCACCGGAGCCACCGTCTTCGAAACGTATGTCTGATGTTCAATTATTGCCAGCATCACATGAATCTCACGTAAGTGAAGGCAAGGCAGATGGAGATGAAATAAGACCCGAATACACTAGGCACATGGAAGCTGTAACTAGAAAAAGTTCACATGATGCAATTTCAAGAAGCAAAATTCTCAATGACCGTTACTTTGAATCTGAAAAGTCCAGATCCAGATCACTCGACGATTTATTGGCTGCTGATTCTAATGAGATTATTCCAATAAATGATCCAGTGCCAATGGTTCTGACAATGGGCGAGCACCGACAAAGTGATCGCTATCGTTCAAGTGATGGAATCACACCACTAAAAGAGCCACAACCAAGGTATGTCAAGTCTCAGTATGCCGGAAAACGATCAGCTGGTTCACATTCAAGCAAGTATGTCGATCGTTCAGAGATGAGTATTCGATCGTCTGCTATGTCAGATACTAGTGAAGCACCATCCCTTGCAAGCCACGTTAGACGTGTACGCGTACCGTCACAGGCTTCAGACGTTGATCAATTTTTAGACGATTTGTTCAGCCCTGTTCTTGATGGATCTTTGGATGAATTATCAGATGCAAGATCACTAGCTGCCAGTATCAGGGGAACAAAAAAGAATGCAAAGCCAAATACCGAACCGCAAACAACCATTCAAGACTATGTTGATGCAGTCGTAAATTCGGTTCAGATGAGTAACTCTCTATCAAATCTTCAAAATAAAAACATGATCAGTAACATTATCAAAGGAGGAGGAACGGCTCATCAAACGAAAAATAACGTATCTAATGGATTTTCTCCAAATTCATCAAACTTCAATTCAACGCCTATTGCTCCGATTACACCAATTAATTCAAACTCTCTTTTGATGATGAGCTCGGTGAGCCCTGAAGTAGTGGTACCCGTTTTCAATATACCACCGGGGGTTGAAGGATCAGCTTATCAGCAGCAAGTTCAAAGAGCTTTTTTGCAATCAGCGATGGCGCAGAACATTCAAATTCAACAACAGTTAATGGCCCAAAACCAAGCATTACAGACATTACTGACCCAACAGGATGGACCAAAATCCCCTCCGATTCACAACATGTCCCCGAAACAAAATCCATCTTTGTCGCCTTCGACACCGCAGTCGTCTAATCGTAAAACCAGCGTTAAGGCTAGATCGGATTCAACGACAGCGTCGATGTCTGACCTATTGCGAAACCGAAAAGATTCTTCATCGTCAAATTTAATTCCGCCTCCTCCACCACCTCCGCTGCCGCCGCCATTAGAAATGAAAGATCCTCTCGAAGTGCGTCCTTTTCTAGATCCGTACGGTAGAGCCAAAACAGTGCGAATTGGAAAATGGAGATGGCCACCGCCACAAGATGGATCCGCTGGAGAAAGTGAAGAAAATTTTATGCATTTTAAAATGCGTCACAGTAACCGCAAAACAACGCCTCAGTCACAAGTTAATAGTAACGTGGAGTCTCCCATTGGATCTCCAAATGGTGTCGAGTGGGACGAATTTGAAATAGATCTTCAAATATCAAGCAGCTCAAACAATCAGAATCAGTTAACTGATCAAAATCAAAAAGCTAATCAAGCAAATCGCGTAGCTAAACGAAGTTTTGACATTGGTGCGGATAGACCTTCACCAAGCAGTGTGGGAAAACTAAAATTGAGCAACGAAATGAGACAACGACTAGAACAAGTCACTGCTGGACATTCCGTACGATCAACTAGCACTCGCTCAGATAGAACGGAACGGATACCAGCAAAACTAGAGGACACCCGTAGAATGATTCTTGAGCAACAATTGGGTGGCATCATGTCAATGCAGCATGCATCGAACGCGCAAGCTGATATACCATCTGTCAAAACACAGGTTCAAAGAATGGAAGCAAGCAAAAGACCTCCGCCTACATCTTGGCCAACGGTAAGTGTAAATGACACGTATCCCTCTTGTATCCTTCTTTCTACGAGCGATAATGGTGAATACTAAAGTTAGTTTTCTAAAGATTTTTTTATAACCACGACGATTATTAAACCGTTGTGAATCACGTGGTGTCAAAAGTTGTGGTTTTCCTTAACCGGTGCGGCTTATGACGGTTTTTTTTTTTACGTTCTAATGTAATCGTCAAAATGGTTGTTGAACGTTTACCTGTTCATTAATAATTCAGATTTGTTTCATACTTATTCTTCGTGTATGGCTGTTATGCTTCCTGGTCATCTAAATCTAATCGAAAGTGGAATCATTATAGATATGGTTTCTATTTTTATCTAGGGTACGTGCACTTGCGTTGGTACTAGAGCTTTCCTGGTACAATACAAGTTTTCCTAATTTTTTGGTGCAAGCTTAAAGTTGGGGTCAGTAGACACACTTGTTCCCCTGTTTTAAATCTCAGCGCAAAATCAAAACTAGAAGCGTTTATTTTTGCATTGGCTTACAGGGACATACCTTATGTAGCTTTTATCAAAGCCTCAAAGTGATACATAAATTCTAGAAAGTACGTTTTTTCATCTGTACCGTGAAGGTACCATATTCTGCGTAGCTAAGGCAGTTTGTATAATTCAAATGCTAGTTTGAACATTTTAAATTAGCTTTTAAAAATATAATATCAGTAAAATGTACTGCTACAAACCCCTTCAAATGTTACAATTAAAGGGTATCCAAAAATTGTAAAAAAAAAACATGTTGTACACCGATCTAACTCTGCGCTCTCTCTTGCGTATGTTCCCAACTATGCGCAATTTTGTTCCGAGTTATGCGCCGCTAAAAAGTAACAATACATTTTGAAATAATTCTATTTTTTAGGAACACAAAAAAAAGCGATTAGCCATTTCTATGATCTATTTGATGATCCTGTCTTCTTTCTGTTCAATCAAAACTGTTAGCCTTCCCGGGCGCTTCCTAGAAGTGTACTTTCTGGGACTCCCGTACTTTTGCGATGCGACAAATAATGAAGCCGGTTCTGACAATATCCATGGTCAGAACCATTTGGTCATGGTTTCACCGCTTAGTTTTCCGATTTTGCTTGCAGGGACTCAATTGAGAACATAAACAAAAAAAATCGGTGCTTAATTCTGCGCAATAGTTTTGAAAAATAAATTTAAGTAGCAACTGTTTTGGCTATAACACGACTAAAACTAATTTATCTTACCAGTTACGGAAAATGTTTCATAATTAATGGTAAACAATTGGTTTTCACTTTGATATTTATTGAACACATTAGTTATATCACAGACAAACAGACATAACCCTCGCAAGTTGTTCATCGAACAAGCATTTAACGGACAATTTAAAAGTATCGTAGTTGGTAGTATCGCCACCTGTGGCGCGCATAGTCAATTCCCTTGCGTTTGACGTTCACACACTACCGCCATCTGTTCAGCGTAGTGCCCACCATAGTGTACTCTACAGAAGGCGGTAATGTTTTAGCGAAGATGTTTTACAGTGAGAAATATTCAATGTGTTATGTCTGTTTGTCTGTGGCTATATTTTAGAGCATAATGACATAGTATTTACCCCACAATACTCTGAAGAAAAATATTTTTTTTACGTTTAATATTGACACAAAGAATAAGGATGATATGCGCAGAATTAGAGACACTTTCACGCTTGGGGGCGACTTGATTTGCCTTTTATTATATGTCTTCCAATATTGATTTGTATGGAGACTAGGAGCAAATCGATACGGGCTAGAGTGCAACCCACAATTAATAAAAAAAAAAAAACATTTTCATTTCGCGTGAAACTGTGTATAAATGGTGTTCATTTGAAGCATGAAAGAAACTTCTGTACGAAATAAAGACATGAAAGAATGCATAAATAGAACCATACACAGAAACAAGATCCATTGGCAAAAATACTATATTGATGGTTTAAATTAAATACTCCCACCAATAGATTTGTGCAGAAATGAAATTCATTTAATTTGACTAATTTTTCTATCAAAACTACTATACCGTTTGAGTCAGCATAGTAGTTTTGACAGAATGGTAGTAAATTTGATTATATTTATAGTCAACTATACTGAAATCATGGTAGATTTAACGGTATTAAGCGTAGTTAAACTGAAAATAAGTGTTTTCTGCAAAATAGTATTCCTAACTATTATATTTGTTTCAGTGTAGTAAAAGACGATCATCATGGCTACTAAGATTGATTTTTGATAGTCTCGATGGTGACCTAAGTGGAGTTGACTGTTGATAAAAATTTGGATTGTCAGGTCTCTTCAAATGCTTGTCGATAATTAAATCTTATAATGGCTCTAATGTGAGGCATAAGCTATAATTTGTCAGATATTGTTTGCAGAACCGTAATTCAAAGATGGCCTGGGTTTAGCGTACCACCATTTTAGCTGATGTATTGAAGAGATTGTATATTAAAAGGAGTGAACTGAAGTTTTTCATTGATTATCAATTCAATTCTTTAAGCGTAGAATGGTCAAAACGTGTAATTTTAATATAATCCATACAGGTTTTACCACCAGCTCCAGCTGGACCGGCACCACCACCACCAATAAGACCACCCAACACAACACCTCCTGCTCCACCTCCACCTCAAATGCAATCCTTGTTGCAAGAAGTACCATCTTTTGTCCAACGACAGGAACGAGACACCTTTGGTGCTAAGGATCCATTTAACGACTCGTGGAGCCGAGCCGAGGCAGCCAAATTGGAACTCGTGTATGAAGCAAGTATGTGTTAACTTTTATAGTTAATGTGGTGATTTTTGTACATTTCCAACTTTGTTTTAAACAGGCTTTAAGAAAGAAGTAGTATCACAACGCGAACGTTCTCGATCCCGATCCAGATCTCGTGATCGAGAAAACTTCTCTGAATCTGTGTGGGATCGCTCTGAGGTTGAAGGACCGTCATCAACTACAAGTGATCGGGATAATAAAGAACGTGAAAAACGCGACCGAAATTATGAAATGACTCAAATTCAACGGGAAAAAGAAAGTACTAAAGTTTACCAGCCAGCTCAGCCAAAAGATAAAATAAAATCGACAAACAATAATAGTCGTCACTCAGTAGCAACATTTAAAACTCACATGGTTCAAAAAAGTGTGCAAGAGAGAGAGCGTAAGACATCTTCAACTACCATATCATCGATAAACAATGACCATATCAATGACTCGGATTTATCTGTACACGATCCACCTGCACCAGTGATGCCTTCACCTGCACCTCCATCACTGAAAGCTCCTGCAGCTGCTTGTCTAACCTATAACAAGGTTACTTGGAAACTGCGTGTAAGGAAGGAAGTATTCCGTCCGAGTGAATCAGTGTCCGCTCCGGCAGCGCTTGATCTAATATTTTCACAAATTACATCTGATGTACTAGGGTTAACACCTTGCCTTCGAATTAACCCTCAAGAAAAACGTGCTGCGATGAATTTGCTCAACAGTCATGGCGTAACCAGTGAGAACATGTCGAGTCAAGTTAGAGCAATAGTAAAACGGCATTTGTTGGACATGGCACGAGGCTGGCCTCTGTACTTTTCGCGAATGTTCATACTTAACGGATCACCCTCCATTCCGGGGGGAACCTTGCTGGCTGTATCACATGTAGGAGTTTATTTGGCAAGAAAAGAACAAGATTATATATCCGTACAAAAAACGATGCCTTTCTCCGAAATTCAAAGTGTTACAACATTACCACGGCCTTCAACTTTCCAGTTAACAATGAAGAACGGTAATCGTATCGTTCTTCACGCTCCCAAAGCAACCGCTATACAAAGCATGATACACTCTTTCTTGGTGGAATATCGACAGGTAGGTGGTTTATTAATTCGCACAAAAATAATAAAATGTATCATATTATCCAATACAATAATAGCCATAACCTTTTTATTTTTAATACCATACATTCATGAGATGTTATCTATTACATATTGCCAACCAGTTGAGCTAGTTGTTGAGCATTTCAAATTTAATGTTTTTAAAAAAATTCTTCCTATTCGTAAGGGGCGCTAACTACTTCAAATTTAAAGATTTTTACCAATTTTTAAGAATATTTTTTTATTCCTGTACATTTTAACTATTTTGATCAATTTTTACCTGCACATGTTTACCCAAGGTGCAAGCCAATTCAAAATTTACATATTTTTCATTTTTTTTCCGCAAGTAGTCTACCAGGGGCGCAAGCAACAACATTCAACATTTGTGTGTATGTGTGTATTCAATCTAACCCCCACTGGCCGGCAGTGGAATTATGGAAGAAATTTGCTTACAACAATCCTTGATGTAATAATTTAAAGCAAGTTTAGTCCGGGAGTTAGAAAGCGATAGCTCTACTGCAGATTCAGCAACCCATTTCAGAATGCCTGGTAATTCACGTCCATTCCGAGGTTACTTTCACATACAATAAGCCCCGCATGTAAACACTACCGTTATCATATGAATAATGGTACTGCAAACACACTTCCAGATTTCGAAATGTGATGTTTCGAAATCTGGCGCGTATTTAGTAATATATGGAAATATGCATTTATGATTGATTATAAATTAGATGGATCCCACCAAATTCTGCCTCCGAAAAAGGACCGGTTTGTTCACTCGCGGTAATCGAAAAAATCTTCCGCGTTGTTTTTACAACCCAACACGACATTTTGAATCACATTCGAAGTTTTTCATTTGCACCGAATTTTTGCTCGACACCGAATTTTTGCTCGACACCTCTGAACTTGTCTACCTCTTGTCATTTCAAATTTACCTGAATAAGTATATCGGACGCTAGTTATTTCAAATTTAATATTTTTTAAACTTTTCTTCGAACTTGTTAATTGGAGGCGCAAGTGTTCGAGGGGACTGACTTGGGTGTAGTGTATTTTTAATATTTAACATTTGCGATGAAATTTTTTTTCTCATTGGATTGCTGTATTTTACCTATTTTGTAATTTTTTTTCGGTTTGCAGCTAAGTAGTCGCCGACTACTAGAGACTACCCACAACCACAGCACTGGTATTATGTCAATTTTCAGTGTATAAATGTAAACAATTGTATAACATCATTGTAATGTAATTTGTGTTAACTCTAGTGTTGTGAACCTAAATACATATACTGAAGAACTTAAATGTGTGTGGAATTTACTCCAATTTCACCCCAACCCGAAAGATGTTCTAGACCGGACCTGGAATCGAACCCGTCTCGTTGAACTTGCTTGTTAGCATGAAATCTTGACAATGATTCATGATTTCTTGATTTCATGATGGAATTTCATTAATTCATAATGCAGCGGAATCATGACCACTACAAGCGTTACACGTACCTTTCAAACCGTGCACATAAAACACACTACATAGGTAGCTCATTTACGCCTTTTGCCTTCCAAGCAAATGCATATCTATAGTAAATCACAGACAAACAGACATAACACATTGAATATTTCTCAATGTAAAACATCGTCGCTAAAACATTATCGCCATCTATTGAGTACACTGTGGTGGGTAGTACACTGAACAGATGGCGGTAGTGTGTAAACGTAAAACGCAAGGAAATTGACTATGCGCGCCACAGGTGGCGATACTACCAACTACGATACTTTTAAATTGACCGTTAAATGCTTGTTCGATGAACAACTTGCGACTGTTATGTCTGTTTGTCTGTGAGTAAATTATGTTCCTAATATATCAATTATGTACTTTAAAAGAAAAACAAATTTCAAGAACTGAATGAAAATTTATTAACAAATGAGCAATTGGTGTGTACAACCATAGAGGTAACTCTAAGACCAGAAGGTCCCGAAGAAACGTGCTCAACTTTTTGGCTCAGCTCTGGTACTCTCTTTGGTCCCAAGATCCCAAGCACCCCTCGAAACATATGAAAATCCGAGGGGGACGACTCTATCTACGATGCAGGAAATATTGTGTTTTGCTGTGGCTAGCTGTGCGTACGCTGAGTAGATAGAAAGAAGATTTATCACGATTTTGAAGATTTCCTGCAAAAAGATGATGCGCGATGCAAGTAGATGCGAGAAACGCTTGTATGAAAAAAAATTTCGTTTCGAGATTCGCAATGTGACCCCAGAGCCACAAACGAAGTGACAGACGGAGCGGCTCGAAAACTTTGGTGACTAACCTGCTATTGCAATTTTTCAGTGTACCACATGGCAACACCACTACTACTGTATTGTACCACATGGCAACACTACTACTGGATTGAACTAGCATTTTCACCAAATGTACTAGAATGTTTTGGTTCTATCTCTTTCACTCAAAACTGAAATGCATAAAAAAATGACAAAATGATACACTCTTTGCACACTGTCAAAGAATCATTGTACACAAAATCAACTTTGTGCAAAACCAAAACAAAAATACTATCCCATCCGGTGAATGATGGCACAAGCTTCTAAGAAAATTCTATTACAGCGAACCACATTATTTTAATTGATTTCTTCGCCAGTTAGTCGTCTGTCACTTCGTTTGTGCCAGAGCTCCGTATATGTGTAGGTTACACTCCATTGAATGATAGCACGCGTTTCTCAAATGAGAATGATCCATGCCTTCGTCAAATTACTAAGCAACTGACATCACCCATTCGAAGGAGGTCCCCTTTGATAGCGAATAGCTGCTTTTCTCATTTTCATCAAAAATGTTCAATTGATTTTGAGAATTAACAGCACTGCTAACAGGTAACAGGTAGAGGCATGCTACGATATGTGGTTTTAGGTAGCATGCTAAAGAATTTCGAGTATCCGTTTCCTTGATCTCTTTTAAGCAATGTTGATGGATTATGTTTAAATATTTCTAAACTTTCTGCTACATCTAGTTTCCAAGACAATGGATACCTGCTGATTTTTAGTACCTATTGATTAATATATAACTCGTAGATAAAAGATGGAATTTTCAGTGGTGTTGAGTACTTGGCACTGATAAAGTCTGCAAGTAGTAGACGAAATACGCGTATCTGTCAAAAGATAAGCAATTATAACGGAGTTAAAAGGAAATAAACCAACACACTCAAAGCTCTTCATTGAATGTGTGGTTTAAATATTGTATCGGTACAAATTTGGATTTTATAATATTTTTGTTTTTCGCATAAATAAATGCTCGGTTAAGATGATCAAAAATAACACTTTAGCATTAGCATTAGCATCGAACAAGTTGCACAATATCGTAGGTGGTACGAATTCAAAACTATCAAGAGCAAGACGGATATCTATTACTGGACAGATAGTAAGTAGGAAATAATTACTCTCTCCAAGATAAAGACATATTCCGCTCCAACAGTTAAGGATTGTCCTGGCCACGTCCTTACAACTGGTAGGGATAGCAAAGGTATGTTAGTCCAACATTTACTTAAGAGAGATGCAGAGAACTCTACGACCCCTTATAAATGTCTCGGGAATTTAGGAATTATGTTAGCAGGGAAGGTAAGCCATAGCATACACCAAGTCAATGTTGCTGGCAAATGTAGATTTTTTTAAATAAATGTTGAAATTGCTGTCCAGAGCGTCTGCTGGAAGATAAGGTTGCTGAAATAAAATGAAAATATAACATTGTGAACTCACCATCGTTGTCACACCCGTAGCACAAAACCTCTATGTTTCAACTTGAATCATATTCATCTTCTTCTTTCACTTCACCCTGGTGTGAGCACATTACTACTTTCTAGCTGGTCTTCTCGCCATTTTCGCAGCAGCGCTGAAATATCCCCCAGCGGTTTTCCTGGCTTCGGCCATATGGTGTAGGTGGCCAGGTCATTGGGTCATGCTGTGGGAAAAGTCCCTCCACGATGACTTTCAGCTTATTGGGGCACATTTCACCATCGTGACTCGGTAAGCGTTGCCCCAAGGGTTGGCATCGGCATCGCGGCACAGCTCCTTGAAACTGTTTGACTTGCTCAGTGTATGTGTGTGTGTTTTTTTTAGTAAGGTTTAGGAAAGCTTCAAGAAGCCTGGCCTGTTCTGTAGTTGGCACGGTGTGGTATCCACTAGTTGCCTAGTGCAGCTCCACTAAAACCCAATCCTTGCTCTCTCCTCTGCCTAGATCCCCCCGGGACCACTGTGAAGTGACTACCTCGGGGGGTGGCTGTGATCATGCACTTGTCGCACTTGTCGCTGGCGTTGCTAGATCGCTGATCTTCTCTTCATTTACGCTGCAGCTCCGACATAATCTGCGTGACTGCCCTGCTGACGGCATTCCAAGTGCCCTCCTCTCGACACATTTCATCGACGACATTCTCCAAGTTTAGGACGGGCATCTCCCTTCGTACTGTCTCGAACCTTGGACAGTCGAAGACCACATGCTCCGGCGTTTCATCGACGTTGCCACACTCCGGATAGAGAGGTGACGCTGCGTGTCCGAACCGATACAGGTATTTCCTGAAGCAGCCGTGGCGTTCGGTGGAAATTGACTTCTCCGTGTTTTCTGTTCACCCAGGTCGAAAGAATCGGTATTAGCAACAATCAATACGAAACTAACGATTTTAAATTGGCTCACCACTTGACTAGCCTATTGGTCCCAAGCAAACGATTAACGCACCCTATTCTAGTCGAAATTCTAGTACTACGCAATGTTTGTTTTGATTCGCTATGAAAGTTTGACAGATAAAATGAGGGGTTATTGGTTTTTCCTATGTTTCGAGGGGTGAATCGATTAGCTTGGGACCGAAGAGAGTACCAGAGCTGAGCCAAAAAGTTGAGCACGTTATTTCGGGACCTTCTAGTCTTACACAGCAAAAAAAGTTGTTGAATATTACATCGAAACTGCTGCAACCAGGTCAATCCATCGATTGTGTAATATCACATTGTACGATGTACATCGATTTTG